AACRTATCAGAAAAATTAGAATAAATGGTGCTATGAATAAGAAAAATCTAAGTTAGGAAGTAGTAAAAAGACACTACAGATTGGCAGTTGGTACTTGGAACAGTTTTAGAGTAGTTGAGGCAAAGATGTGATGTGAATTYAAATAACTGAGAAAATGTATTCCAGTCTCTGAGCAGTTATGCCGGTATCTTCACTAGGTTTAGGAATGAATCTTGTGAGGAATCCAATTCCAATTTGAAGATCATTTTGCAGGTGACCAGCACCCCATCAAGGTAGGTTCCTGTTCAGAAGGTGTGAGCCGGCTGGGAAGTAAAAAGTCTGAAATACTCAGTAAGAAATACCGACAGCCAGAAATTAGACAAAAAAAGGGGAGCACTGACAGGCTTCCAGTCCTGACAGGAGCAGGAACTGAACAACTGAAGATGGCCCAGATTCTTGATTTAGGGGGAGTACCTCAAAGGCAGGGGTAAGGTTTCAGTGGGAGGAGTCTTGGTTGGTGCTGGTTTCTCTGTGTGGTAGGGGTCTTGCAAGAAGCAGGTCGATTGGCATTTTGGCAAGCTACGCCTATCTCCCAGAGGCTGTGTGGCTCCAACAGGTCACTCCATCTGTATGCTGTGATGAACTTGTGATGGAGCTAGGTAGAAGCCACATGAACCCCATGTGCTCAAACAGCAAGATTGCTGCTGGGAGTTCCCAATACCAGGCTTTCCTGCCTAATGGTTTCAACATCGTTTTAGTTCATGTACAGTTCACAGATGGCTTCCTTCACATCCCTCCTTTTTATTTTTTAAATGCAAATGAGAGACAATTACTTCGAGTTTCTGGATCCTTATTTTGATATAAAAAGAATTAATAGCAAACATCATTCCAATAATATACCATGCAGAATGTTTCAATATATTTCCAGGATTAAAGCCAATTAATCCATGAAGTATTTTATCAGCTGGGGATGCAGAGTCCATGAGATTGATCCTGATTTTCTGAATATCCTGCGTGTTATGATGTATCTCCATAAGGTTGAAGCTATTATTATCATTATGCCAAAATCCCATTAGATGACTTTTAATTTTTTCCAAATGCCATTGGGGGGGATGATATTTGGCTGCAGTAACACAGACATACTTAAGTCAGCATGGCATTTAAGCCTTTGTCTAAATTTGAGGGTGGGAGACTCACTATGGACATTTGTAATGGAAATTTGTAATTTAATTTCAATCTTTTTATTAATATTCACCTGATTGTACAGGGCTTTGGAAGTATTTTTAGCCAAATTGTTAAATAAAGTAAGCTTAGTTAGATTATATTTCCACAGTGGAAAGCTAACACATACCGAGTTGTTTTTCTCAGGTATTTGTCACAGCAACAATGAACAGCTGACTAACACAGAAAAATGGAACTGGGATTGGGACTGTTGCTGTAACTTATGTCTGACCATGTAGTTCAGCATCCTGTGGAGCTCACTTGTTGGAGAAATTTGGAAAAGTTTGGAGATGCAGGCTAGAAAAGTCTTAGAATGTTTAAAGTGGAGCTGAATGGGCAATTCTGTTGTGAACTCAGAAGARCAGAATGCTGATAGGAATGCAAACAGCAAAGGCCGAGTTCCTAAGGTCTCAGTTGGGAACGAAGATTCTGGTTTGAATCTGACTACAGGCCGTATGTGTTGCATTCTGGCAAAAAGTTACATTTTGTCCATCTTCTGAGACTTTGTGTGAGGCGACATTTCAAGGTRATGAACTAGTCAATCTGGCAGAGAAAATTTCAAGGCAATGCAGCATTCAGGCCGTGGCATGGGCATCGTGGGCAGCTTTTAGCCAGGTTTACAATGAGAACTGGAAGTAAGCAATAGATCAGAAAGATTTGAAAATTTGCAGGTTCTCCAGAAAAGCGTGTGCTTTTCGGCCAAGAAAGGTGTGGTTGCTGAAGGGATTAGTGCCACTGAAGAGAAGCTAAGTATTTTGCACCAAGACAATGGGAATGATGTCTTAAGGTCATTTGAGAAATTTGCCAGATCCCACTTATCTCAGGCTCAAGGATATAAAAGTRTGAACTCTTTTGAGAAACTTTGTTTTAACAAGAGAAGGCTGGCAGGTCTTGCTCTCACAGGGCTGTATAGGAAGTTTTTTCCAGGATTTTTTTCACCATGCTTAGTCATCCAGGCACTCAGAGGCCACTGCAGCCGTGGTCCAGGATAGCATGGTTACTACTTCTGCTGGCAGCAGACCTTGCCCTGTCCATGTGGTGTTCATTTTGCAGGTGTGAAGAATGCAAGAGTTACAGGGTCATGGAGGCATCCAGTGATATTTCAAAGAAGGACCCAAGAAGTCAGAAAATGTGCACCAGGACCGAAATCCCTGCAAGCAACCCCTAAGAAGGTGATGAGTAAAGCTGTAAGAGTGAAGCCAAATCTGTAATAGAGCCTAGAAAGTTGGAGATGACAGGAACATGGGATATCTGCAGAGAAAATGTGCAGTCAGGGAGCAAAGCCAACCTAAGAGAAAGCCCATACAGTTCACRACTGACAAGGCCACAGAAGTGGAACTGCCCATACCCTTCAGAGGTTCCGTTTTGCCACCACGTGCCCAGCGTAACAGAGGGAAACTGCAGGACTCAGTGTTGACTCTGGTGGGTTTTCATCTTGTCTCTCCTTTCTATGACCCCATTTATCCCTTTTGGGATGGGAATGCTTACCCTTCGCCATTGGATGTTGGAAGTATATAGCTTACTTTTGGGCTTTCATAGAGTCGCATAGTTTAGAGTTTTTCTTGAGTCCCAGAGGAGACTTGGGGCTTGGATTTTTTTTTTTTTTTTTTTTTTGAGAAATGATGGAACCATTAAACTTTGGGGACTATTGGAGATGGTTACATTTTTTTCCAACATGAGATAGACATAAGTCTTTGCAGATCAGGGGGAGAATGATATAAATTTGGATATAAAGTACCCTCAAAGACTAATGTGTGAAAGGCTTGGGTCCCCCCTACAGTAAAGGAGAGGTGGGACTTTTGAGACGTGGTTGAATCATGATGAATCTTATCTCATTAGATTAATTCACTGATAGCTCACTGGATGTCTGGCAGACAGTGAAAACCGTAGGTGAGATCCAGTTGCAGGAACTGGGAGGTCACTGAGAGCATGCCCTAGAAAGGCATTGTGTGTGCCCAGCCTCTCCCTCAAGCCCCTGTACTTCATGATAGGCATGAGGCCACAGCTTCTTGTGTCAGACCCTCTGCCATGGTGACCCACCTTCCCTCAGGCCCAAAGGAATGGACCAGCTGACCAGGGACTGAAGCCTCGGCAAGCTTGGGCCAGATGAATCCTTCTTCCTGTGAGCTGTTTCTTAGTTATTTGTCACAGTGGTGAAAAAGTGACACTCCTCTTCCAGCAACTTTGAAATGTATATCATTACAAACTATACTTAACCGTTTACCTTCACTTGTGCATCTTATTTATCTCTACTCATTACTAATCTTTTACTTTACATTCTAATTTACCATGACATTCCTTTTCTTCTTTCATTATTTCCTGCTTTTCTTTGGATTTGTTGAGATTTTTTATTACTCAATTTTTTCTACATTAATTTTAACACTGCATATCATAAAATTTATATACCCAAGTCAACATATCCTAATCAGCATGCCTACCCTTCTAGAAACGATTCAAATATATTAGAATTCTTTATTTTGAAATAGCCTTTCATCTAAAATTACTATCTAGTTTTTTGTTGTTTGTTCACTGATTCTTAAAAATACTGTTGTTTTTTGCTCACTGATTTTTAATGCCATCACAAATACATTATTCTTTACAGATAGTATATTTATATTTTTACCTCTTTATAGTATTCTTTTATCTCAATCTTCTGAATCAATCTATTTCAATATACATCCTTCAGTAGTAATTCTTTCAGGATGCATCTGAGAAGTAAGTCTTTGTCCAAAAATGGCTGCTCATACTAAAAATAGTTTATCTGGACATATAATTTTAAATTGAGAATTATTGTTGCCTCAGTACTTTGAAGATGTTATTCCATTGTCCTGTGATTTCATGGTTGCTACTCCATGGTTTGTGGAGAAGGCAAAACTTTACCTCTGTCTTCTTAAAATTTTCCATTGGTACTGTGAATTAACTGACATGATAGATCAACAGGAAGGAAGCTTACAGATTTCACGTGGTATGAGAGTCATCATAAGAAAATGAAGATCCAAAGACACACAGTTCAGCACTTGGATAGATCATAACAGCCAATTATGAAATGTGATAAGCGTTTGACAATTTCTTGTCCATAGTGCATAAACAGATCAACCATTGTGCCTTTTTATCAGTAAAACTGTTGAATTATCCCACATTTCTTAATTTCAAAAAAAACCTGACAGGCCTTATCTTCTGGCCCCTAAAACTGGCAGTAGTATTTCACTATTCACATATAATGGTTTATTTTTATTCATCTTGTATCTTCATCCTATTGTGTGAAGCCCAGGTATCAAATATTCGGATGCTCCTTTAGACATGCACATGTACCAGTGCCAACGTTTAACTTGCTTCACCTTTACCATATTGAAAAAGAATCCTTTTCAAGAATGTACTTAAGCCATAGGACCTGTCAGACTGCTGTAATGTAGGATTGCCCAGTTAGACGAGAAGGAATGAGTCTACTTCTAATTCAATCAGTAATATATACGCTTTAATTCAGGTAGACAAAGTTGAATCGCTTTTGCTCCCTACCTGGGAAACGACTGTCAACGCGAAAGGAAAAACTGGCCTTTGTAGCCACTAAATTTACCGTTAAAATTAGCACATATTTCACATTAACAGCTGCTAAAGCCTATCGACTTCATTTTGTAATACGCGTTTTCATCATTCTTGAATACTGGTGCTTAAAAGTTACGCGACTTCAGAAAGTTGTAATTTGTGCACAGCCCTCCTATGAAATTGTGGGTGGCCCTGAAAAGAGCCTTTTATGTTACTTCTCCAGGATTTACGTCATTTAGAATTTTTTCAGTTGGAGATTATTTGCTTGGAATCTTGTGGTGACGATTTTCAGTCTTCTTGGGCAGCAGTACAGCCTGGATATTGGGCAGGACGCCGCCCTGCGCGATGGTCACACCACCCAGCAACTTATTAAGCTCCTCATCGTTGCGGATGGCCAGCTGCAGATGGCGCGGGATGATGCGCGTCTTCTTGTTGTCGCGGGCCGCGTTGCCAGCCAGCTCCAGGATCTCGGCCGTCAGGTACTCGAGCACCGCTGCCAGGTAGACGGGCGCGCCGGCCCCGACCCGCTCGGCATAGTTKCCCTTGCGCAGCAAGCGGTGGATTCGGCCCACAGGAAACTGCAGTCCCGCTCTACAAGAGCGAGTCCTTGCCTTAGCGCGCGCCTTGCCGCCCTGCTTGCCACGTCCAGACATCTCTGCAGAAAGGGTCTGCTGCAAACGAAGAATATGCCCCAAACCCGGTCTATTTATAGTCTAATCGCAGGTTGACCTCGCCACCTGATTGGCTATGACTGCAGAGCCAATCAGAAAGTCTTACTGGAGACACTTCATTTGCATACTCGCCACTGCTGTCGTCCAATCAGATTGTGTTTGCCCTTACGTCATTCGAGCTTTGTGCCTATAAATACCACTCTTCCCAGCCTCAAGTGGCGTTTTCTTTTTGGCTTCTCCTGGGAGCCGGTGTCTTTGAGCTGTTAACGTTGTAGAGCTATTTACTAGCCATGCCGGAGTTGTCTTGTAAAGGTACTACGATATCCAAGAAGGGCTTCAAGAAAGCTGTCACGAAGACTCAGAAGAAGGAGGGAAAGAAGCGCAAAAGATGCCGCAAAGAGAGCTATTCCATTTACATCTACAAGGTGCTGAAGCAGGTGCACCCTGACACAGGCATCTCCTCGAAGGCCATGAGCATCATGAATTCCTTCGTCACTGACATATTTGAACGGATAGCTGGCGAGGCSTCGCGCCTGGCGCACTACAACAAGCGCTCGACCATCACGTCCCGGGAGATCCAGACGGCGGTGCGCCTGCTGCTGCCCGGGGAGCTGGCCAAGCACGCCGTGTCGGAGGGCACCAAGGCGGTCACCAAATACACCAGTTCCAAGTAAATTTATTTCGTAAGCTTGCCTCCAACCCAAAGGCTCTTTTAAGAGCCACCTAAATTTTCTAAAGAAAGAGCTGTGTGCTTCTCTTATCAGCTGTAATTCTTTGGCATTTGGCACCAGTAGGTTTGTACTCGTGTTCACTAAACATTGTTCAGTGGTCCGAAGTTTCCTTTTAGCACATGAATCTAGAAGCTTTTCAAAGGCAGTTGTCCTCTATGTTTTTTTGGTAGTCAGTATGTAGATTCCATGTTAGGCTTTGGTAGTTCTTAGCTAGTACACATTCCCAATCAAAACAAGGTYTGAATAGATTTTATGGCCTTAGTCAATTTGTTTGGTTGGTCAATTTGGTAATTAAGTCTAGTTATCCTCCAGGCTTTGGGACTCTGCAGCCTAAAGCTCAGGTTTCTTGTCTAGATGTCCTTTATTAAGACGCCTCCAGTTTCGTTGACTTTGAAATATGGAGGTTTGCCATTCCTCTAGGGCACTTCATTCTGGAATAATATCTGAACAAACTACTATTAGTTGGCAGTTAATTTTAACTGAATTTTCTCTTCATTCCTAATAGAAGTTATGGTATGATCTCAGTATTTGTTTTGGTAGAGCTATTAAAAATGGTGTTTTTATGTCCTGTGTTACTAGATCACTACTCTTCAAAAGCAGATAAAGTGATGAGACATTGAATTCAACTCTTAAAAAGGTATTAACTGGAAACAATACAATTTTTAAATTGTTATATTCTGGAAACTTGCTTGTTGGAACTCTCAATTTGATGATGTTTTTCTTTCATTTAAAAATACTTAGACTATGCATACGATTTTTTTTTTACATGAAAAAGCTTTAGTTTCATTTGATAGTATATCTGAATGTACAGGAAAAAATGCAAAATAAAATGCCCTGTTCTGTGCAAAGCTAGGTTCCTGCAGAGCCTTCTTTGACTAGGAGTCCTCCAAGGTGGCAGACAGAGTTCTGTGCCAGTATAGCTCCAGCTGCCCCATCACACTCTGAGAAACAGCAGATACTACGCCCAAATCCCTGTCAACTTTGTGACCACTCCTAACAGGCTACTTTAATTACCCCAGAATGGTTTTTAGGATTATTTGGGCAAAATAATCTAGGAAAAGCATCTCTTCAGAGGAAACCTGACATAGCTTTTATCTCCAATATATTTTGGCTACAAGTAAGAGGAAATGCCAGTTGATTTGGCTGAGGCAATAAATACACTACACCAGACACCAAGTCAGAGAAGTTTCCCCCAGAAGGATGATGGAAGCCCTGCTCCAGCCTTGCATTCTTGCCTCTGCCCTTTTCCACAACTGGACTTGATTCTGATGCTGGTCTGCAAGTACTCATGTAATTAGGACAAAATAAAGGCAGGGAGAGATTGTTTCACTGGGTGTCCAACTGAAAGCAAAGAGCCTTCCCAGAGGACACCCTCTAGGTCCATTCACTCAATCCAGTGCCAGGTGCTTCCAGAGCCATCTGCCTGCCTCTAGGGTACCATGTAATGGGGAAGCAATCATTTACCTTCATATAAATTTGGCATTTTAAAAACTTAAGTGAAGTTCTAAGTATTTTTGTATTATTACAAATAAGGCATTTGCCTATTAATATCTTGTAATGCTTTGTTTTATATGAAAGATTGCTTTCTGTGCATTAGTAAATCCTACTATGTCACTGAATTAACATTTTCATATTAGCTTTCTAGTAGATGTTGCATTTTACATGTTTGCAATATTATCTGAAAATAGTAAACATTTTATTGCCTCCTTTTAATTAGTTAAATTTCTAATTTCTTTCTCTTGTCTGATTTTAGTGGCTTGCACCTTTACAACAATATGAAATAGTGACAAGCACACATTCTTGCCAAAGATTCTTCTGCCATCATTCTGATTAAATATATGTTGTATTGAGGAAGAATCATTCTGTCTGATTTATTGAGTTTTATATCAAGAATGGATGTTCAGTTTTGCTAAATGCCTTTTCAGTATCTCTGGAAATGATCATAGATTTTCATTTTTAGGTATATGATGGTGAGTTATTTTAATACACTTCCTAAATTGAGTTATCCTTGCATTCCTGCTAAAAACCTCTGCTTAGACATCATATTTAATACATTTAATGTTATGCCAAATGTTTGCAATGTATTATTCATAATTTTTATTTCACCACTGTAACAGAGGTATTCTCTGTTTTTCTTTTTTTGTGAGCAATATATTCAGCTTTTGCAGTAAAATTTTATTCCAATATGGAAGATTGTTGTCTTATTTATACTTTGGAGTTGTTTGAATAGTATTGGAATTCTCTTAAAAACTTTGGTAAAATTCCATTTTGAATGAATTGGTATTCGATGCCCTTTTTTGTGTGTGTGAGAGTTCTTAGTTTTTTTAAAATATTTTTTTAGTTGTAGATGGATACAATATCTTTATTTATTTATTTTTATGTGGTGCTGAGGATTGAACCCAGTGCCTCATGCATGCGAGACATGCGTTCTACCACTGAGCTACAACTCCAGCCCATTTTTTTTGTTGTTGTTTGTTTTGTTTTGTCTTTATTCTGATTTGTTATATATAACAGAAGAATGCATTAAAATTCATATTACACTTATAGAACACAATTTTTCATATCTCTGGTTGCATACAAAGTATAGTCACACCATTCATGTCTTCATAGCTGTACTTAGGGTAATGATGTCCATCTCATTCCACCATCTTTTCTACCCCCATGCCTCCTCCTTTCCTCTCCCTCCCCTTTGCCCTGTCTAGAGTTCATCTAATCCTGCCACGCTCCCCCCACATTCTCCATTATGAATCTGACTTCTTTTATCAGGGAAAACATTCAGCATTTGGTTTTTTGGGATTGGCTAACTTAGCATTATATGAAATTATTGTTTCAATATGCTAACAATATGGAATAAACTTTGATAAATTAGTTTTTTTTTTCAGAAAAATCATCTAAAAATAGTCCCTTAGACATAAGCAAATTCTTCACAATTGATTGTTGTCACCACTGTGTTTTCTGTAGCACAACTCTTGCATTATCTTATTTTGTATGTGCTTTCTCATTTACACAAACCACAATAAGTAACGATTCACCCTTTATTTAATTTATTTTATTTGTTATTTATTTATTGGTACCGGGGATTGAACCCAGGGATGCTTTACCACTGAGTCTTATCCCCAGCCTCTTTTATTTTTTTTTATTTTGAAACAGGGTCTTACTAAGATGCTGAGGCTGGCCTTGAGCTTGAGATTCTACTGCCTCATCCTCCTGAGTCTCTGGGATTATGTGCCATGATGACTGGTTCCTTTATTTCATTTAAAAAATGTATTTCTTGTAGCTTTGCATTTATTAAGTTTCACTTTTTTTCTCATAACTATTGTTTTTACTTTTCTCACTATTTATTCTTTCTGCTTTGCTGGTTCATTTTTCTTTTTTATTTCCCTAACTTCTTAAGTGTATGCTTACTTTACAGAGGCAGTCCTTACACTGCATGGTGTTGATAGAAATGAATTTCAGTTACCAGTGTTTAGCTCAATAACACCAGTTGCTAAACAACCCAGTTCAAATTTCATTTATCATGATTTTCAATAGTAATCACATAAACTAGAAACTTCACTGCTAGCTCTTCAATCGCATACACAAATAGCATACAAATCATGATTGGTGACAATTGTGTCACCACTTTTAAAGTTTGTCAGTGATTTATGTTGTTTGGTTTATGCAAAGACAGGAAGCATGTTATTTGGGGATTTGCTCTAGAAGCAGGAACAATTGTGGCTTTATTTACCTATCTGTAGACTGTGATTTTTGCATTGTCACTTCAAAGAACATAATTGGTACCAATCAGCTGAGGGCTGGGAAAAGTGCCTATTTAGAAGTATGAAGTCTGAAATTTCCACAAAATCACTATAATGCCTTTGAACTCAGAAAAAGAGAAATATCACCCTCTAAGGGAAACTTCCTGGTCTCATCTTACATGAGACCATCAGTTATACTGGACAAGGGAAACCCCAAGGAGAGGGACCAGAGGGGACCAAACCACCTTAATCAAGTCTTCATTGTCCCACTGTGAAGGTAGTGCTGCTGGCCCTTCAGTGTGGAGTTACTTGTAGAAAACTGACTGCAGTGGGGGGCTTCCCTTTTCCAAAAAGGTTTTTAAAAATTGTGTTTCCTTTTCCTCCATTCTTTAAACATTTGCTCATTGAATGTTATATGTGTGTGTGTAAAAAAAAATATAAAGGAGTTCCTTAGTATCATGGGGTTTACTTTCTTGTATAGTGAAAGGTAGACTTTATCAAATGTAAAAAGGCA